TCCGTCCCCGCTCGGCACAACAATATAATTATAATTAAATGTATTAATGGTTTATTATTAATATTAAAATAATGCATAAGAAATCTTTTTTAAAATGTATTTTATTATATAATAATAATAATTACTGTTACTGTCTATCATTGTCTAAATGTATTTCTATTGTCTAAATATATGTATTCAGCTAGTGTAAACATGCACGATGCTTTCACAGCTAATGCGAGGCTGAGACTGAAGCTTTACCCTTTGTTTCAGCTGAGAGACGTGCCGCGTGACTTATTTCCCCGCATGTACATGTTATCTTAGGTCGGCGTTCACGGTTTGACTTCTGAGATTCAGATCGAGCTCTAGGTAAAAAAAATTTCGAACTGGTTGGTTCGACTTTTATTCGAGTTCTAATGAGTTCGAGAACTGAGGTACCACTGTATATATTATTTATTATTAATAGACTATTATTATAGTAATGTTTTTCTATGTAATAATTACCACATTAGGAACAATTGATATAGTCTGTCACTGGTGATAAACAAAGACCAATACATGATGTGCATCCCTGCCTGACTGCTGACATTTTGCCAAGCAGCTGCCTTTGTTCGTAGATTATCGTACAATTTTAAAGTTGCATTACAAATCACAGAAAAATGCTCCATACAAGCTATGAGCTTTGTCACATACAACCATTTTCTTATTAGCTGTGCACCGGAGAGCTCAGTTGCCGGTGGGTTGGTTTAACTTTGTGCGCTTTTCCACTGCACCGGGTACCAAAATTCTAAAAAGTATGGTACTTCTTTGTGTTGGTTTTCCACTAGTGTAAAAACTGGTACTGCTGCTGAATGACATCACAATGCGAGGCAGGGTATTTTATACTGAATTCCAAAAATGTTTATTAGTATATTATAGGGTTGGGTGAAGTGCAATATAAATACTAACTTCACATGTTATGCACATGCAATTCTCACATTGCAAGGACTGTGACAGTAAGCTGGGTTGAGGTCAGGCTTTTCTTTTTACATTGATACCTAATGTCCAGACATTATAGCACAGGGCAGTTTAAGTTTCATAAAAACATTTTATACTTTGTCATAAGAAACAAAACTTAGCAAGCATTGCAACTGTAATGTTTGTTCCTTTTAAAGATTATCTAGTATGTTCAAAAAATCAGTTTGAAGTTTACAGCCACTGCTTCTGCCTGAGCTCTGCATGTGCTCTCTGAGTCATAATCATTTTCATCCTTGCTGTTTATATCACTAGACAGGTTTGTCAGGAATGTATTTATTTTGACCTTTTTTGGCTCTTTAAATATCCCAATATTTAGCAAATACTTTTTTTTCTTGTTATACCATCCAAATCATCTTCTGGTTCTTCCCAACAGATCACAATTAAAGCTTGGGTCTCTTCATTTTTCCATTTGTCCACACATATATTAGGGGCGCCCCCCCCCCCCAACAGATCACAATTAAAGCTTGGGTCTCTTCATTTTTCCATTTGTTCACACATATATTAGGGGCACGCCCCACCCCCCCAACGGCACCTCACGCCCCCCCTTGAAGGTCAAGTTAATTTTATTTTCTATATAGTACCAGATCACAACAGAAGTCATTTTAAAATTACCTTTCCTATAGGACAGGTGTCACGCCCCGCTCCGTCCGCTCCCGCTGTGTGCCACGCCCACCTCATTACCTCCTGTTTTGCCCTGATTGTTCTAACCTGTGGCTTGTTGTCCGTGGCTTGTCTAGTGTATTTAGTCCTTGTCAGAGTCGGTCATCCCCAGATTAGTCATTGTGTAGTGTCCGTTGATGTCCGTGCCTGTACGTCTGCCTCCGATTAAACCCCGTTTCCCTGACTACCTGGCTGCGCTCGCCTGCTTCCTGCTCGCCCTACCCGCGAGCGTGACAACAGGTCTATATATTGTTCTTTTATTAGACAAACTAAATAGCCTTATGTTATTTATCTTATTTACACAACAGTTTGTCATTTTTCTCTCTACATGGTCACGTGTTTACAATTCTCCTCTGCTCTCTGTATCGCGCATGGCGGACTTCCACCCCGATGCACGCGCAGACACGTGCGCGCACTAGAGCTGTAATATTCGGTTCCTTTTTAGGATTCGGCTCTCTCTGAGTCACTCACTAAACTGATCCGGGTGTGCGACTCACTTGAGTCAGTAGTGCCAAATCGCCAGCTGAAACATTTGTTTTTCATAGAAGAAAGTATACGTGGCTTGTGATGAAAATGAATGCACTTCGAAATAAATGACAAAGTATTAAGACAAGAGTGGCAAATATTTATTTTCAAGTGGCACACACCAAAAAAGAATCATACAAAATGTAAACACTAGTGTTGCGCGGGTCGGCTTTTTTTAATCACCGACCCGTCAGGAGATCCAAAACGCCCTGCCCAACCTGCAAAAATACACGTGGATAATGACCCAAAACCCGACCCGAGGAAAAATATTTTTTTTTTTTTTTAAAAACACCAGTGTGCCTGTATTGACATGGAACCTACCAATGGAGTGTCATTTGTGACACTAACCCATAGATAACATAGATTTGTGCTAGATTCGCATTGAACAGGGTTCCCCCAGTTCTGGCAGAATACATTTCCATGACTTTTCCAAAACTTTTCCAGTACCACAAGAAAATTCTCAAAAACCCACAAGTTTGCTTTGATTTAATGATCATGCAGTTTCAGATAGTAGCCTAATTGTCCTGCCCCGATCGTCCGCTCCTTCCGTGTGCCACGCCGCCTCTTTAACCTAGTGTGGAATCCCAGTGTGATCAGCTGTTTCTGGTTGTTGTAATATTCAAGCTGTTTGAATATAAATTCATAATGAGTGTTATACTATGTGTTGTGCAGTTCCTGATATAGACTCTAGAGGGCAGTTGGTTTTTTGGGAAAGTGAGTTATGTGAACAAGAAGGTGCAGAAAAAATAAAGGACCGGTTAGCAGTAAATCGGAAGAGGACTGATTTTTTTAGACCCCAAAAACAATACATGGTGTCAGAATAAATTGCGAATATGGATGCTGCCGGAGTGCGTGCACCACTAATGGACTGGGAGTCACAGAATCTCCCCGACACATGGAGAAAGTTTAAGCAGCACGTTGAACTGATGTTTTCGGGACCATTTTGCCGCAAAGAAGAGGCCGAGAAATGCAGCTACTTACTTTTATGGGTCGGAGAGAAAGGCAGAGACATCTATAACACATGGAATCTCACCGCAGACAAAGCTAAGTTGCTCAAAACTTACTATGATCATTTTGAAGCTTACGTGGTACCAAAGGCTAATCCTATCTTCGCAAGATACAAGTTCAATGAGAAAATACAGTCTGCCACGGAAACATTTGATCAATTCGTCACAGCTCAGATTGCTCGTTAAGTGGTTACACGAACCCAGAGGAGATGGTGAGAGATCGTGTCGTTTTTGGCATATATTCCCCACAAGTTCGAGAGAAGTTACTCA